AAGTCACTTTAATAGATAATACAATCGTGGTAAGTGTCATGTTAACATAAGGAAAGTACCTCAAAATCCTATTTCAACTGATAATTTGAGTCAATGTGCTTGGATACTTCCCACCAGAGCGCTGTAATCATGTGTTAGATGTTCATAGGGATCAATACACCTACTAAAAAAACAACAATTTGACCACTAACGTTCATTACAAAGCAAACAGAACAGACTGAAAATACTACCTGCCTGCACATATCAGAGTGTGTTTCTGCAGGAGGAAATCTTGTGCGTCGCCACATGTGAGCACATCTCAGCACAATCAGCCTGTTGTGGCAGCATGTCCCCCGAGCACCAAGGTTCCTAAGGCACAGCTGACTCTTTGACCAGGAATGTCGAGTCTGCGGAGGCCTCCCACATTAAAATAGCCAGCGTGCCCTGTCAGCACACCCTCATGGCGAACGCATGGTCCGATTAACAGCTGCCAAATTCACGGCGCTATACCGAGGAGAGAGGAGGAAGAAGCAACAACAGGAGGAGAATCAAATTACCTCCCCCCTCCCCTTTTTCTGCTCCTCACACACCAGAGTCAGACAACAGGCTGGGTTGTATGTTTCCACACAATGTGTTCATGTGACGAGGGGCACAGAGGGATGAATGAGCTGATAAAGAGTGACCACGACTAAACTGCACATCGGTGTAATTCGCTGTGGATTCAAGAACAAGCTGTTGTTGTGCGCAGCGGAGATGTTTCCTGAAGACTGCTTTTATTAACTTTTCAGACAGCTGCTGCCAAAATGTGTGTGTGCATGTATGTGTGTGTGAGGAGAGCAACTGTAAAGCACGCGCTACCCATAACAATTTCATAATGAATCCAATTTAACATGCAATTATCATGATTCTGCCCTAATAACTTCTTGATTTATGCGTCAAAATTCTGCAAGAAAAAAAGGCCTAAAAACGTCTTAAAATCTTGTCTCATAAGACAACCAAATATTGAGTTTACTGTAATATACAGAAAAGAAAAGAGCTACCGGTAATTCTTATGCCAGAATGTTTGACGTGTGTGTCTGTAAAAAAACAGATTTGTATTGTATTGTGATCATTTGAACCCATGGTCTGTTGTCTGATGAACATGTGAGCAGCTTTTTGTGGTTTCTAGTGTAGCCAGCACCAAGACTTTAGTTGCCTTTGTCTATATCAATAGTTTGCCTGAGTGATGTCACCCATCTGTTACTGCAGGCGGCTTTGGAGTCCCATCTATGGAGGTCCTGGAAATCCTGTCTCAGCCTAACTTTCAGTCAGCCTAACGACAGGCTGAGAGCTGGAGCTGAGGCGGGTTTTAAGCCTCCTGACAAACCGTTACAACACGCCCGCTTGGCGATAAGGTCAGCTGCCTTACTGTGAATAACTCTTATCCTTCATGAATAACTCTTATCCTTCATGAAAATCATCAAAACATTCCCCCCCTGTACAGCGTGTGCCGATGGACGTGAGCTAATCGGACCTATTTCATTTTTGTACCAGGCTGTAAACATGTTAATCTCTGCTGTAAAAACTGAAGTGGACACTCGAGGAACTGCAGGATTTTACACTTCTGCATCAGCTTCATTTTTTAACACCGTAAATTGGTCAATAAATAAAGTCCACAGTCATCACCATTATTCTGATTATTCAACCCATAATGAAAATATTTACAGGCATAACGATAAATGTATTTTTCTTTTTTTTACTAGTAAAGTTTTCTTTTAATGTCTTTGAATTGAGGCTTTTAATTCCAGCCAAGTATTGTAACAATATGGAAGCCTATATACTGTTTTTTAACTTAAGTAGAATATCTGAATACTTCCTGCACTACCTCATGGGGCAAAGAAAAGCAGCAGGTCCACCAGGGAAGCTGAAAAGCAGCATGTTTTTCAAGTTTTTGAGCACCAACCTGCATTGATTGACCTTATTGATTAAACTTTAAATTATTTATGGATCAACTTGTTTGGTCTAAATTTGCAACAACCTCCGGGAGCCAAAGAAACGTCTTAAAATTGCTTTATTTGTCTGAGAAAAAGTTTGTTTGCCATCAAACACGACAAAGCTCCATGTAGCCAATACTCACGTCTGAAAAGACTGAACCGGAGTTTGAAATGTGAGATTATAAAATAACTTTAACGAGTCTTAAAGGGTTCAAAATATAGCTGGAAAATAATCTTGCTCGATTTTTTTTTCACAGACAAATCAAACATTTCTCTAAAAGATGACCAGTTGTACGTTGTTAATTAGAATGATCTTAATTTGACCTTTAAGTTAATTATTCATTCTTCATAATAATAATGATAAAATAATAAAACAAGTAGGGACACTGCACTTTAAAATAACTCTAACTTTGATACCTTAAATGTAGTTATTATATCACCAAAGATCTCTGATTCGACACAAAGAAAAAAGTTGTAGTTTGATGACATCATGAAGCAGTGAGGGATTATGGGAGTTGTTGTCTTCTTTATTGTTGTATTAGAAGTTATTTTCTGTCTCCGATTTTATAGTTAATTCAAGTTTCCACTTCTTTAAAGCAGGAATGATCAAACTTTGAAGTTTGCAGCAGATCAAAGAGGAGTGTTAACACGATCAGTGCGACTTCTATGACGGTGGAATATGATATTTTTAGGTTTTGCACATTTAAACAAAACAAGGCACCTGAAGACGCCTGATGAATCCATTAGTGGTTAATGGAAACAATCATGAGTTCCACGTTTGGACAGATTCAATATGTGGCTGGAGCTGTACTTGTGAGCGTGTTAAATCCTCACACTGACCTCTTTCAGTGACAAAGCACAATAATCCTACTCTGGATTTGACCGTGCTCAATTTTCAATGAGGCTTTCTTTGTCCAATCTCAGCTGAATCACGCAACTTCAGTCAAACAGCACAGGAAACAGATGAGATCCATTTGCAAAATGTCATGAGGTAACATCAAGGGAATATGGAAGTATAAGCTTGAAAGTCGTTAAAAAAGAGCTCTGGATTCAGTTCCTATCATTTTGAGATTTTTACGATCTTTTCTGATTTCATTTTGAATACTGGGTGCTGGATAAAAAAAAAAAAAAACATCCAAAGACAGAGGAAGACACACCAGAAGCTGCTCCAATAAACATTTCATGGGAAGTATCAGCACATGCGACGTTTCAGGCCCCTCGACCTTCATCGGAAAAAGGGGCCCGAAACGTTACATGTTGTGGTAATTCCCATTAAAGGCAGGGTTGGTAATTTGGAAGTTGGAAAACGTGCATGATTTTGAAAGAAGCATTCCCTCAGTGCTACGTCTGCACACCCCCCCTCCCCTCTGTGCTCCCTCTAAAGCCACGCCCCCTCACTTACATGCATGGTGGCAGACATTAGTCAGCTTTTACAGGCTTACAACTGCTACAGATGACGGATTTCCTTCGTTCCTTTTTCAGAGAACATGAGTTATTAATTTCTTTCAGGACCTAAAGTCAACCAAAATCTTAAAAAGTGTATCAGGAGAAACTTTGTCTTCCTTTTGTCAATAGTAGAGCCAATCAAGCAGCTGCAGCTCATGCTGAATGTTGAAATGAGAAAAGAAAAAACATTTGACTCTCCACACTCATTGAGAATGAAACAAACATTTCTGTAAATCAGATGCTCTTATTTTGAAATCCAGCTTTAAAAATATACAGTCACAACATGGATGCATTTAAAGGTGTTTAATTAAGGAAGTGTTATACTTTCACTCTAGGAAAAAACAAAAAATAATCTGGAGGTTTGAGTCACAACTTTGTTTTAAGAAATTAACCTTTTTTTATTTTTTAAATCTCGAAATTCCTTTATATAATACATTTTTGCTTTTTATAAGTATTTCAAAATATCATTTGCTGGCTTTGTTCAGTAATATTTTTCCTATAATCTCATTTTTAATATAGTTCTCTTCTGAATAAGAAACAAAACAAAACAAAAAAAACATCCATCATCAGTGTGTTTCTGTCCAGGGTCTTCACATGTTAGAAGATGTTACATCATGAAAAAAAAAATGGCCTCAGGCTGGTGTAAAGATGGCCATTTAGTTTGTCAGTCGGTCCAGCTCCGACCATGCCAGAGAGCATGATGGGGGAAAAAAAATCATCACCGGGCAGAGCTGGAAGGTCAAACGTGGTGCTCCCATCCAGCGAAAACAGATATTTGGACCCTTGTTTGTGGCATGAGGGAGCAGATCATTTCAAGTCCCAAATATTTATAAACTGTAAATCTATTTTTAAATACAGAGGATATTTGTTTTGTCCCCAGGGGCGTAAAACTGGGGGGCGCCAAGGGGGGGGGCCCCACCCCGTACAGTCCTCTTTCCCACATGTTGGCTCTCCAAAGCGGCCCTTCTCAAAACACCAGGGATGCTCTGGTGCGAGACACAGCAGCTTCCTCCCCCCCCCCCACCTCGGCCAGGAACAATATTAATTAATTAAAAATACTCGCTAAAATTGTATGTATAACATAAAACCCAGCTGATCCACACTGCGACTGACTGCAGGAGTCAAAGCTTTAGTTTAAGTCCGCGAAACGAGGCCCTTGTTGTTCGGGCTTAAAGATAATCCTCTCATCAGTAACTTCCCCTAACATTTTTGGGTAATCTTTTTCGATTAACTGCTGCTGATGCTGCTGCTGCTGCTGCTGCACGGCTCCCACTGGGCTGACAACGCAAACACATCCAGCAGCTTTCTTTTCACCTACATTCTTCTCAGGTTCATCTGGCTTGCAAAAAAAAAAAAAAACACAATCTGCCCACCGAGAGAAACCTGGACCGGAACAGGAATACAATGGATGCTCCTTAAAACCGAGCAAGGAAAACATCTTAAACAGGTTGACTCCTCACTCTTTTTTTTTTTTCTTTAAATATAAACTATGTTGCAGATAGAAAGCGGTTCTTAGCCCCTCGCTTTCTCTATTGTTATAAAAACCAATTTGCTGGTTGTTCTTTTTTTCCTTTTTAACAATAAAGCACTCTTTTCTTTATCTTTTTTTTTTTTTTAAATCAGCCAAATGAGATATCAAAATATCTCATTTTACACATTTAATCCACTTGCAAAGATTTCACACAACCACTCCAACCTTCAACCCTACAAACTTTTTTTTTTTTAGGATAATACACCAAAAACTTCCCCTTGCACATGTACTTTACACGATACTTTTTTAGTAGGCTATAACAGCACGATTTGTCATGCACTTTATCTCTTTTTTTTTTTTTTTTTTGCAAAATACCCCCTTGGCTATATTGCAGATCTGTCATGGACTAACAGCTGTTTCTTTTTTCATTTCCTCTCAGTCGTCCTCCACGTCGTCTCCCTCGGACTCGTCCCTCCTCTCGTACATTTTATCCCTCTGCCTCTCCTGGATCTCCTTCATCTCCTCCGCGTATCGGCTGAACGCTCCCCCGAATTTGCTCCAGGCTTTGAAGGGGATGGTGATAGAGTTCCTGTAGCTGGGCTTCACCTCGCTCACCCGCAGGAACACGCCGTATTTGTTGGAGCCCACGTCGAAGAAGAACCGCTTAGAGTCCACCATGATGGACGTGCCCTCGGGGAGCTCGCTGAACCCCCCCGCGGCGGCGTTGCCCGCGGCCAGCTCCTCGTCGTCTCCCCCGTAGTCGTCTATGAGCTTAGCGAGGGCGTCTCTGAACTCTATTAGCCCCTGAGCCGGAAGGGCTATGGTCTGACCGGCCAGCATGCCGCCCACAGGGCCCCCAACACCAAAGCCGGGTCCCCGGTTAACGGTCTGCCTGATCCTGAGGAACCTCCCCCGCTGGTTCTCCTTCAAGTCCAGGTAGTATTTGCGGTTCTCCCGGACGAGAAACTCACTTTTCAGAGCCCTCCGAGGCCCGCCGTCCTCCCCCATGGAAGCCTGGGCTATCTGCTCCGGGCTGCTAGGCCCAAGCTGGGCGTAGTGCTCGATGAAATCCCCGAGGTAGTCCCGGAACTCCGCCGCCACCGACAGGGAGAGGGTCAAACGACTTTTGGAGCCCCCGGCCCCAACCTCGGCGATTTTGATGAATCTGCCCTTGCTGTTCTGCTTCACGTCCAGGTAGAAGCGCTTATTTTGAATGTCGAGGCGCTTGGACGCCAGCTCCTGGGTCTCCTGGTCCCTCTGGAAGTGCTGGAAACCACCTCCGCCTCCACCTCCACCCCCGCTGCTGCCGCCGCGCTCACTCCCGCTGTCTCCATCCGCCATCTTCAGCTCCACCATTCGGCTTCTGCCCCTCTCTCCTGCGTAGCTGCTTTCTGCGCGCTCCCCCTTCTCGCTCAACAACAGGGCAATTTTGGAGAGCGTTGTGATTGGCCGAGCGGCCCGTCACTCTCGCAAGTTCACACGGTTACCGCTTCCCCATATGTTCTCTGGTTTTCACGGTCCCACCCACACGCAGAATCCCTCGTTGGCCATTGGTTCAGAATGAGGTTCCGTTTGCGTACTTCTTGTTTTTGCAAACTCTCACTGGTTGTGAAATCTCGCTGCTTTATGACATAATATGATGAAATAAAAGGTTTTTTTTTCCTGTGTTTCTGGCTTCAGCTGGTGAAATACCTCAGCGTAGTTTGTTTTTCTGCGCGTAATAAGAGCGGGAAGGAAGCTGGAAAGCCTCCAGGGTCGTATTATTATAAACCAAAGTGGTTATTTGATCTACTATTATGAAATTGCTCAAATTTAATATATATATTTTTTCATATATCATCTTCTGTTGCCTATTACTGGTGGAAGAACTATTTAAACTTTCCTAAAATATGTTAGACTTAAAGAAAACAACAATCCAGATTTTACTTTTGCAAAAATAAAAGTAAAAGCAGGCTAATAAAAGTTAAGAAAGGTGTTTCCTGTTTCCTCAGATTATAATTAACACCCATGCATAAATATGTGTCCAGTTGCGTAATATATTTTATATTTATAATTGAGTAAAAATTCAGTTAGCAGATTCAACAAATTTAGTAAACAATGAATTAATAAAAATGATTCTTCATAGATCCATTGGTAAAAATGAAAGCAAACTTAAACTGACATAAATCCATGTTTTTTATTTCACTCTGTTTTCCAGTGATCAAGAATCTCTCGACTAACTTTCCTTGTGATCTCAAGATAACAGCGCTGATTTTCCCCTGATAATGCGATACATTCTCGAGATCTGTAGAAAACTCCTGAAATCGAATAATTATCAGGGAACACGGGCGTTTTTATCTCGAGATATCGACCGAAATCCAGTTCTTATCAAAGGAAAACATTAGAAAATGAAATATATTGCTGCAACCTTTTTGGGCCTGTGACCCCACTTTGACTTCACAGAACTCTGGTGACCCCAGACATTCAAAACACTCAGAGTTTTGGTATAAAATTAGTTTGTTTTCAATCATGTAATAGTTTTTCTTATGTGTTGAAAGTAAACATTCATTTTAGAGCACATTTAGGCTTTTTTTTTTGGTGTTTAATATTGTGGACAGAGGAGAAAAAGGATGGGATGACATGTCTACACAGTGGATGACAGACGGACAGAGACTCTGCACTTTCTTGATTTGGCATCGGCGATATCAGCTACAGCTACATCTACAGCTACATCAGCCTGTGTTCTATATTTAAATAAACAATATATCTTTTGTCAGTCCATCAGGCGACCCACATGGGGTTGGGACCCTGAGGTTAGAAAAGCCTGTATAAGGGCTTCTGGGCCTCTGTAGAAATTCCTAAGCTGTCAAGCCGTTAATTAATTGGACTTTACCCTGCAAGCTTTAAATCAGAGTTCAATAATAAATAGATGATTTTGACTAAATTCTCCAATCATTGTGGGCGAGAGCTTTTTTTTTTAATTCAAACTGAAGATGTGATTCTTTCTGATACAAATTCTTAGCTCATCTTCAGCTACACTGCACATGCATGAAGTTAAAACTGTATTACTGTAAAACCTTTCTCTGCCCACAGGTGGCAGCAACGCTCCGATATTTCTCCCATGTAAAGTAATCAGGTCGATGTTCCTGTTGAGCTCCTTCCACCTGAATGTCAGCAGCACCTGTGACTCTATAAGTGAAACCACATCCATAGTATGAACAGTTCTTCTGCAGGCCTCTGCAGCTTCTTCACTCAGTATTTCCTGTGTTGTGTGAGCATACACTTTCTCAATCAGTGAACGTTTATGTCCTTTTCAGAAGGCTGAAATAACGTCAAAGCTCTGCAAATTGGTGGTAAAAAAAAAAAAACTTGAGGGAAATACTGAAAAAATGCTGAAAAAAAAACAGACAAAAGTTTGGACTACAGTCAGAAACCAGATACAATAAAAAAAAGTATTAAAAAATATATGTCACATTTTATTGGCATGATAGAATCTGTGAACGCTTTCTTCCTACTTTGCAGTCATTGTAATGAAAGTCAGGTGGGCGTTTTAATCATTCTACACTGATTGATTGATTTGTTTTCCTGAAAATCATTGTGGAACATTCAGTCCGAAAAATATTTCGTTTTTAGACTCTCCTTCATGTCAATAAACCCGCTAAATTCCTGGAAATATGACCAAGAAGTTCCTCCCTGTCCTGGAGTGGAAAAACACATCATTTTAGTGATTGAGCAACATTTAAATCACAAGCAGAAAACTGAACCCAGTGAATGAGACACTGGAAGAGACATATTTTACTGCACAGTAACTCTTAAAGGTCACAAAAGGTCAAAAGGTGTCTTCAAGTCAAGGAAACACGACCCCAAACCTTGTTCAAATCTTTCTATTTTCAAGTTCTATATTCAGTTTTTAACAACATTCAAATAAATCCAAATGTTCCATGTGAACTCTAACAGAGACTTTAAAGAAGACTCAAAAGAGGAAACCAAAATACATCATTGTGATAAAATTGAGCAGAAAAAAGTTTAAATTGATTCATAGAAATTCTTCAAACTGCAGGAAATTACATTTTGAGACACCCAGGCCCCCTTAAAGGCTTTATATGCGATATATTTTTGATCCAGCAGATGTCGCCCTTGAGCACCAGCATGAAACCAAAACAACTTGCGCTGCATTGTTGTGTTAGCATGCTAATGCTAGCGATCTTTATTATGCTGGTATCTTCACACTGCATGTAAATTTACCTGAAATGAGCGTGATCTAGAAACACAGTTAAGCAGTGAGTACAGTATGTTATTCTTCTTTTCTCTAGTCCCTCAATTAAACAACTTTTATACACGAGGGGAGGAGTCAGCCGGCTGTCCTGGCGATGTAAACAAACTGAAGATAGGACTCTGAAAACTCTGAAAACATCACAGACAGTGGGACTCGGGTGTTACACCCATTGTAGACAGTCATGACTCACAGAGTTATTTTCAGAGGATATACTTGATTTATATTATATTTAAGTGTGAGAAATCTCATATTAAGCCTTTAACCCGATGATGCCAACCTTTAGACGGCAAATTAAAACATATACAGTATATACTGTCAGTATAAAATAAGTTTTGAATCCTTTGTTTTCACAGTATACACTAAATATGTTTTTCATAAACTGCACTTGTGGGCACAGTGTTTATTGTTTACACATTTAGTACGTTTTTCTACCTTTCTGTACGTTTTTCTACCTTTCTACCTGACTGTGACTGTTTTCACCTTGTTGTTGAAGTGTGCTTTATAAATAAACTCATCTTGCCTTTGATTATTGCACATTCTTTTCTTTGGGTCATTTTTGAGTGACTACATATTTTTTTTTAGGACTTGAGAAATCAAGTGTTGTTGCTTCATTTGTGTCGCGCTGTGGCTGAGGTCATCTAAAGTATTACAACACAGCGATGTGAGGAAGTACAACATGAGGTTTTAAGGAGATACGAGTGGTGGAGACAGAAATTGTAACTTGTGTAAGACCTGCATGAGTCAGTGAACCACTTGTACCACTTGACATCTGAACACAAAATCCTTTTTAGAGGTATAAGAATAGTGGAGCAGGAAAATGGACATCCTCAAGTTAGTTACAGGTGGTAGGTAAACAATGCCCTCAGTTACATCATAGGATGGTGTTTTAGAGCGATACAATTTGTTATTTTTAAGGGATAGATGATGCCAAAAAGTATGAAAGCTCTGCCTCTGTTTCACAGGACAGGTGTGTAGGAGAGGAAACTGCACAAAATGCAACAAATATGCCAGTGAAGGAGTTGGCTTGCAGTTTGAGTCATTAAAAAACAAGAACTTGTCCAATATTGGGTGCATAGGACTTCAGTTTTCATAGTTTCAAAACAGGTTTTGAAGTTTAAAGTTCTGGTATTGTGACATCCCGCCACAGAGAAAGGCTCACTCATGAAAACAAACCAGAGAACGATGTAAAGTTTTAATAAAGATTTTATTTTTAACAATCTTATTTCACAGCAACTTCACAACACAATTCAAATAAATTCATTTTAAATAAATCCAAAACTATACAGCAGTTACAAGTCGAGATACACGCAGAGATCACACTATTGCACACCCACCCTGTAAGCTTGTTTCTCCACCTTCTTCAAGGTTCAGTAGTACTGAGGATAAGTCGCGTAGGAGGTCATGAGAGGAGTCGTTGCCGAGGACAGCATGACCCCGGGGAGGCTGTTGTACTGGTAAAAGAGTCCAGGGGCAGGGAGGGGACGCCGGGCAGAGGCGAGGCGTACTGCAGGCTGTGGTGTGGGTGGATGTAGGAGGCTGCAGCCGGCCCCTCCTGTCCTCCTCCTCCTCCTCCTCCTCCTCCTCCTGCAGCTGCTGCTGTGGAGTGATACCTCGGGTACGGCCCCGGTCTGTACGCCTGCAGCTCGGGATAATGCATCAGCTGAGAGGCCACGTTTGCCTGACAGGCGTGAGCCAGGGCGTCCTGCACCGTCCGCTTCAGCTTCATACGCCTGTTCTGGAACCAGTTCCTGATCTGATAAGACGAAAGGAAACGAATGAATTGATATGCATGAATTCACTTTGATGTCTTCACATAATTAAAAGTGTAAGATTGTAAAACACTGACATCAGCTGCGAACACAGACGTATTCATTATCATAAACTGATTGACTGATTGAAGTTTACCTGTTTGTCAGACAGGTTGAGCTTCTTGCACAGCTCCGCCTTGTCCTGAGTTCCCAGGTAGGCGTTTCTCTTGAACGCTCGCTCCATGCTGCTGATCTGCTCCGCCGTGAACGCCGTGCGGGGCCTCCTGCCTGAAGGGGGCGACGGCGGGCAGGAGGAGGTGCAGTCTCCGGGGACCAAGGGGGAGATGGAATGACCTCCTTCACTCTCGTAGCCGGACGTCTCCTCCTCTGTTCCGCTGCTGAAACCGGCCACGGACAC